GTGATACCTATTTTCAAAACAGGTGACAGGTCCTTGGCTTCGAACTATAGACCAATAAGCCTAACCTCCATAGTGGGAAAATTTATGGAATCAATAATTGCCGAGGCAGTTCGTAGCCACCTTGAAAAGCATAAATTAATCAACGAATCTCAGCATGGTTTTACAAAGGGGCGTTCCTGCCTTACGAATTTATTAACTTTTTTCACTAAGGTATTTGAGGAGGTAGATCATGGTAATGAATATGATATTGTGTATATGGACTTCAGTAAGGCTTTTGACAGGGTCCCACATCAGAGACTATTGAGGAAAATTAAAGCACATGGAATAGGAGGAGAAATTTTTTCCTGGATAGAGGCATGGTTGACAAATAGGCAGCAGAGAGTTTGCATAAATGGGGAGAAATCAGAGTGGGAAGTGTCACGAGCGGTGTTCCACAGGGGTCAGTGTTGGGCCCCCTGCTGTTCACAATCTACATAAACGACATAGATGAGGGCATAAAGAGCGACATCGGCAAGTTTGCCGATGACACCAAAATAGGCCGTCGAATTCATTCTGACGAGGACATTCGAGCACTCCAGGAAGATTTGAATAGACTGATGCAGTGGTCGGAGAAGTGGCAGATGCAGTTTAATATAGACAAATGCAAAGTTCTAAATGTTGGACAGGACAATAACCATGCCACATATAAACTAAATAATGTAGATCTTAATATTACGGATTGCGAAAAAGATTTAGGAGTTCTGGTTAGCAGTGATCTGAAACCAAGACAACAGTGCATAAGTGTTCGCAATAAAGCTAATAGAATCCTTGGCTTCATATCAAGAAGCATAAATAATAGGAGTCCTCAGGTTGTTCTTCAACTCTATACATCCTTGGTTAGGCCTCATTTAGATTATGCTGCACAGTTTTGGTCACCTTATTACAGAATGGATATAAATTCTCTGGAAAATGTACAAAGGAGGATGACAAAGTTGATCCCATGTATCAGAAACCTTCCCTATGAGATAGACTAAGGCCCTGAATCTGCACTCTCTAGAAAGACGTAGAATTAGGGGGGATATGATTGAGGTGTATAAATGGAAGACAGGAATAAATAAAGGGGATGTAAATAGTGTGCTGAAAATATCTAGCCTAGACAGGACTCGCAGCAATGGTTTTAAGTTGGAAAAATTCAGATTCAGGAAGGATATAGGAAAGTACTGGTTTGGTAATAGAGTTGTGGATGAGTGGAACAAACTCCCAAGTACAGTTATAGAGGCCAGAACGTTGTGTAGCTTTAAAAATAGGTTGGATAAATACATGAGTGGATGTGGGTGGGTGTGAGTTAGACCTGATAGCTTGTGCTACCAGGTCGGTTGCCGTGTTCCTCCCTTAAGTCAATGTGACCTGACCTGACTAGGTTGGGTGCATTGGCTTAAGCCGGTAGGAGACTTGGACCTGCCTCGCATGGGCCAGTAGGCCTTCTGCAGTGTTCCTTCGTTCTTATGTTCTTATGTTCTTAGTTGGTCTTTTGCATAAGGAGAAGAGAGATTAGTGTAAGAATTATTGAGGAATAAGTCTCTTCAGTATACTGGAAAATGTAGACAGAATTATTATTGCAAGAGTTAGGGGACAAACATAAGTGAGACTGCAGAAAAACATGGACAATATAGAAAGGGAAGGAGATGTGAGAACCAAATTATCACATCGTTATTTATTTGAACAATACCAAAATAAGTGTGTGGAGCTGTTTGATGACAGACACATATGCAACACTTTGGTATTTTTATTGTTGTAACGTCTCTCCTGTTTCCACTGTTACACTTGCCTGTATTCAGTTGAATATAAGCAAGTATAACACTGGAAACAGTAGTAGTATTGAGGTGATCAGACCCTCAGCCTAGGTAGGGGATGGTCGTTCCCTCAAACCTAAAACAGTGGTTGTCGGCCAGATCTAATATACTGTAGTAACTGGAGGTAATATCAGAGTAGCGTGGCACATTACTGAAAGGTCATGCTAAACAGTTTAGGAGAGAGGTTCCAGAAAACTTACCCTGTAGAAGATACTGTAGTGTTGTGTCAGACAAATATATTATTGGTTGAATATGTTACTGACTAATGAGCCACGCTTACTGCACTCACTTCTGCTCAAGTATATAAGGTCTGGCTGATAGGTGTTTCAGACTTGAGGAACTGACCACCGCCTACCAAGGCTCAGGGACTGATCACCTGAGAACTACTACTAGTCTTTGACTTAAGAGACCTGTTGTACTGGTGAAACGTTTCGGCAATAAAGATACCAAAGTGATACACATATAATTTTTCAATTTATCTAAATTGAAAACCATCAATAATATAAGGAACCGTTTGGTGCATATAAGGATTTAGAAACGTGGTGGATAAGGCTACACTGTGGCGGGGGTTGCAAATGTTAGGAATAGGTAGAAGGTTATTACAGGCAGTAAAGAATTTTTGAGAAGAGTAAGGCTCCGTAAAAGGTATGTTGGAGAGATCATTTTCCAGTATAAGTATCCCTTATATAGGAATGTGTAATGTTACTATGATTAACATTTCTCTAGACAGAGCAGTAAGAGAGGCGAGTTGTCAAATCTGGAGAAAGGTGTGCGCAAGATAGCTACTGAATGAACAAAGGGAATGTATTTCTTTCTGTGGGTTACATTATCTTGAAGGTAAACTGCATATGTGGTAAAATAAATTATAAGAGCTATAAGAGAAAATATTAATGATAATGAATCGGTTAACATGTTTTCATATACTTTTCCAAATGACTAATAAGATATTCATGACTTTCTTTAATATTTGATGGTGTTTCTTCCCGACTGTTTTCTTGTTTCCGGCTTTGTTGCCGGAGGGTGGAGAAAGGGTTTTCTTTTTCTTCCTCAATTATTACGTGTCCAGAGGAGACAGTAGGAATATCTTAAGCATTTATTCTGCTGCTAATTGCTGCTTGTTCGTACTTCATAGTGCACGACCTTTTCATCATTAAAGGACATGCAACGAGATGTATTCTTAAGTTAACTTTACCTCTAGTATATTAGGTATGATGTAAAGGGGCATTCCTGTCTTACGAATTTACTAACTTTCTTCACTAAGGTGTTTGAGGAGGTAGATCATGGTAATGAATATGATATTATGTATATGGACTTCAGTAAGGCTTTCGATAGAGTTCCACACCAGAGGCTATTGAGGAAACTTAAGGCATACGGAATAGGAAAAAAATTTTTCTGGGTAGAGGCATGGCTGACAAATAGGCAGCAGAGAGTTTGCATAAATGGGGAGAAATCAGAATGGGGGCACGTCACAAGCGGTGTTCCACAGGGGTCAATGTTGGGCCACTTGTTCACAATCTACATAAACGACATAGATGAGAGAATAAATAGCGACAAGCAGATTTGCTGTTGACACCAAAACAGGCCGTCCAATTCATTCTAATGAGGACAGATCACTCCAGGATGATTTGAATAGACTGATGCAGTGGTCGGAGAAGTGGCAGATGCAGTTTAATATAGACAAATGTAAAGTTCTAAATGTTGGACAGGAAAATAACCATGCCACATATAAACTAAATAATGTAGATCTTAATATTACGGATTGCGAAAAGGATTTAGGAGTTCTTGTTAGCAGTAATCTGAAACCAAGACGAGAGTGCATAAGTGTTCGCAGTAAAGCTAACAGAATCCTTGGCTTCATATCTAGAAGTATAAATAATAGAAGTCCTCAAGTTGTTCTTCAATTCTATATATCTTTGGTTAGGCCTCATTTAGATTATCCTGCGCAGTTTTGGTCACCGTACAAAGGACCCTGAATCTGCACTCTAGAAAGTTGTAGAATTAAGCGACGTGTCTGACCTCACTAGGTCAAGGCATCGGTTTAAGCCAGTGGGAGAATTGGAGCTCCCTCGCATAGGCCAGTAGGCCTGTTGCAGTGTTCTTTCTTATGTTCTTCTTATAATAAAAAATGACATCTTTCTGAACAATGTCATTGGAACAAATTTTCGCTCTATGTAAAGCTTGATCAAATAAAGCTCTGCACACTGTGAAATTTTATCCTAATAAGAGGTTGTTCGTCAATGTAAGTCTTATAAATTAGTTTTGCTAAACTTTCCTCATGATAGCTGAAAATAAATAAAATTATGAATTCAAGAACATTTTAAACTGGCATTTACCCTAAGAAAATGTGTGTGTGTGTGTGTGTGTGTGTGTGTGTGTGTGTGTGTGTGTGTGTGTGTGTGTGTGTGTGTGTGTGTACACTTAACTATTTGGGGTTGGAGATTGGGTCACAGCTCCTGGCCCTGCCTCTCCGCTGATTGTTACCGGGTTCCTCTTCTCCTGGCCTTGAGAGCCTCATTATACCTGTTAATGCTGTATATAGAAACCACTACTACCACTTCGCTATCCAGGACATTCCACTTCCTGACCACTCTGAGAGTAAAGAAATATTTCCTTACAAACCTGCATCTCGTTAGTTTTCGACTTCCAGCTGCATCCTAGTGTACCTGTTTCCCACCTCTTGAACAGTCTGCCCCTGTTGACCCTATAAATTCTTTTTAGTAATTTTATACCTTTTCAGCATGTCACCTCTTGTTCTTCTGTCTCCTGACGTCACTAAATCTATCAGCTTCTTTAGTGTTTCCTGAGAGCAAATACCCCTTGTCTCAGGGACTAGTCTCGTTGCTAACCTCTGCATTTTATCCAGCAAGACGGTGCGAGTTCCACAATGGAGCTGCATACCCCAACTGATATATACAGAATGCGTTTTTCGTTTTTGAGGATTGTGGAAGCTAATCTTAGATGTAACAGATGCATATCTATTGCAGAGAATATTAGGCTGAAGTGCTACCCAGGTAGCATGCTCGGTACTACGCTCATCCCAGATGAGTGGGCGCTGACCTTGGTGTGAGCCTGTGGGTGGGAACTGACCTTATTTTGCACGTGTGGGCAGGCACTGATATTGGTACTGATGGGGACTGACCTTGGTAAGGGCGTGTGGGGGGTACTGACCTTGGTGTGGGCGTGTGGGTGGAGGGTTGCGGTGCAGGTGAGCACTAGAGTGGAGCCTGTCTTGATGTAGAGCTCTGAGGGCCCCATGATGTTCGCTCCGGCCGCTGCTCCATCAAGACGCCGGTCAAGAGGTCACCGTCGAGCATCAACGTTAAATGGAAAGGTCCAAGGTCCCGGGTCAAAGGCCAAAGAAAGAGAAACATGTTAGTGTCTAAGGCCCACGTTGATCTTGTCAATTTCCCCATTATTCATAAAAAGATTATTGATACTGTATTCACAAGGAAGATGTGAAATACAATTAGAAAATATAGCGATGAACGATAGAGAAAAGGACTATGCAAGTGAAGCAAATACTCAATATGGAGAAGCCAGAGGCGGTGTAATGAGATAATTTCAACATAGTCAACATATCAAAGCATTCACATAACAACAGGTCACTACACAGCTCACACATAGCAGATAGAAACTTAGGTTATCATGAATTTCTTTCTCTTATGTGCGGGATTATTTGTGGATTGTTCCAGTCACGGTATTGTGCCTTCTTATTCATTAACAGGTGTGGCCGTTCCTCTCACTGATGAGTCTCTGGTCTCATCTCTCACACACTGAATGTCTATAAACATGAATTTTATTATTCGTCAACATTTAGGTGAAGACACTCGCTAATAATTAGAATGCATACTGAAGAGATACTCTTAATAATTTTGTTTTACAAATTCAACATTTGTAACGTGTAAGAAAATTATACATTTGTGAATAAATTACTAGAGCATACTAATAGATAAAACTAAAAAAAACTTCTTTATTAAAACAATGAAAGAGCCATAATACTGAACCACAGAAATTAACTCTCAAGTGTCTGTATCAAGACACAAACTGCCGCTCAAGAAAATTAAAAAAAAAAAAAAAACATTCACAACTAAATTACATATTTTTATAGTGTTAGTACGAAAACAATGTTGCGTAAATTACTCGAAATTACTTATCAAATTAACTACTGAAATTTATTCAATAAATGTTTTACCATACATTGTAAAAGAAGCTAATTGTGAAATATTATTACAAAAAGGTGAAAACTCTATAAAATGCCTCATAGAAAAGTCCTGTATGGTATATAAAAGTAAGTATTTAGCAATGTGACTAGTTAATAGTCCATTAACTAGCTATTAACGGGTTATTTGTGTATTGCTCTTCACGGTATTGTCTCTCTTTATTCTTAATGTAAAGTGATTTGATAGCTTTATCTTATTAAAGCTTTGGTTTTAACATGAGTATGTGCGAAGACACAAGTAAGTTAACCTCATGAAATATTGTGGATTTACTTAAGAATCTAAGTTTTATAATGAACTGTGTACTACCAACGAGCGACCTTGTTTGTTCAGTACAGTCACAGAGGTGTACTGCCTCAACTACAGAGCAGCACTGTCTCAGCTACAGAGCAGCACTGTCTCAGCTACAGAGCAGCATTGTCTCAACTACAGAGCAGCACTGTCTCAGCTACAGAGCAGCATTGTCTCAACTACAGAGCAGCACTGTCTCAGCTACAGAGCAGCACTGTCTCAGCTATAGAGCAGCACTGTCTCAGCTACAGAGCAGCACTGTCTCGACTACAGAGCAGCACTGTCTCGACTTCAGAGCAGTACTGTTTCATTTCACGGACGGAAGTGATTAGCAATAATAATAATAATGTTGCTCTGGTTGTTGAGTCGTGCTGATGGTTGTTGTATCACAATCATATGACTTGAGGTGCACATCAGGTGAAACACCGAAGCTGCCTGTATGTGCCTGGCAAAACCGAGAAAGACACTAATTATGGTAAACTCATCAGAGTCCACCAGGTTCTTGTGTATGACTTAAATCATACCTGTCAGTGAGCACGCATTGTCAGCAATGAGTTATCAAAAGTGCGAACGTGCCAAGAAGCTAGAAAAATCCAGAGATTCACCACTTTATAAATTCAGAGCAAATACAGATGACGAACGAACAAAGTGCTGGATCATACAACAGGAATAAATAAGAAGCCGAGGAGACACTATAACGATATACAAGTTACTCATTAATAGAGACAGGAGATGAAACGATCTAGATGACGGATGTAGTGAAAGCCGATTTCATGCAGCTTTAAGAGCAGATAAGATAGGACCGTTGAGACCAGGAATAGATTGTGTTTGTCCTTGAGCAATTGAGAGAAAGGGCCAGGAACCGAGCCTCGACCTCCGAAACCAAAAATAAATTACAGCCACGAGAGTACACACACAGGCACACGCAAGCACGCACTCAGAAGCATACAACCTTGAACAATATTCAGCAGTAAGACGTCACCAAAGTTACATTAAAAAAAGGTAACTTGTGATTAAAGAAGTTTCTCTTGACATGACCTTAGAAAGTTTAGTGAGGAGGAAGTGAGGGAGGGTTGCAGAAAGGGAGGATGGGGGGAGAGTGTGAAAAAGAAAGGGAAAGAAGAATTGATGACACAGAGGATAGAGGGGACACAAGGATGATACAAGAGGAGGAGGAGGAGGAGGAGGAAGAGGAGGAGAGGGAGGAGAGAGAGGAGAGGGAGGAGGGGGGGTGAGGAGTGAGTGAGTGAGTACATGGAGAGACATATAGCAGAGGATTTGGAGGTTGTCAACCTAGGTTATCTGCTGAGAACTATCTTCCTAAGTCTAGATTAAGGACTATCGTGCATTATTTAAGTTAGACATGACTAGTAATGCACCCCACCCATCACTCCCTGAGGTTCTGCCAACATAAAAACAGGCAAAAGTATATCATACATCATATCATATATACTTGAAAAGTGGCATAGAATTTATAGGAGAGATGGAAGTAGATGGAAGGCATGGGCTGTAACTACTACTACTTAATTAGAACTTTTACGATATTAACTACTGATCGTTCTGATGCAGTTGCTGAACAAACTTCAGGAAATCGTTGGTTTCACTTTCCCTAGCATAGTATCTAGTTCAGTCCTATAACTGAACATAGTCTAGTTGGTTCTAAAATGACTCTGCTGTCTTCTTGCACCACTTCAGTGAGTAGTTTTGCCCGGGGAGTCCCGGGCAAAACTACTCGTTAATTTCTTCGTTCCTAAAGAACGAAGGTGGTGTTGGCTTTGCTGTGATTGTCGTTGAGGACAATCACAGTTACCAAGAGAATCCTTTGTGTTCTCTGCGGAGCTCCATGCAATCCTTGCTGTTTTGTCCTAATACCTAGCTTAGTTAACTCGGATTCCCAGTGTGTTCTATCTTGCCTGGACCAGTACACTTCTGTCCACCATGTGGTCCTAAAGACCCAGGAGTGAACAACGTATCTCCACACGTGGCATAAGTATGTAGAATTCTGTGGGTGCCCGGATCTTGTTGGTGTTCCTGGAAATAAACGGGCGGACGCCTATTCAAAAGCTACCGTAGGGATCCCACACTACAGCAGACTTTTGCCTAATACTGACTTAATAAGCCATATCACAGACGTGTCATGGGAAGTGGCAATCCCGGTGGGCCCTGCCGCTAGGAACATGTTACACAGGGTTCGGATGGACATGACTCTTGCCCTCCTCCTTCAACATGAATCGTCACTTTAAAACGAGTTCCTATCGATTGAAGATTGGAAAAACGCGTCTCCCACAGCCACCTGTTAGCAGGTGCTGCTGTCCCTCTCTGTGCAGCCATTTAAATATACATTTAAATGGCATACTTCCTACAAACAGAAGAAAAGGCCACACTGCAGAACAGGGTTTTATGGAGACAATATTTCTCTCGGTATAGAGGTTAACCAAGTCATACAGAATATACAAAATACATTAATGAATATACTCATGGTAGATGTGCAACGTGAGATCTCTGCAGAAGTGAACTAAAAAAGACTAATCTTTTGGGGAGTAGCGTCCTGTATCTTCTAAATAAAGACTGTAGTCTCTGACAAGCTGGATTCAGCAGATGTCAGTTTTCCAGTGGCCACAGAAAGAAAGTGCATTTTGCTCTAACTGATTTGATATTTGCAGTACGTTGGTCCAGTTGGTTCTTGAAGGACTTACTGCTTTTAGATTTATGTCTTCAGTGGGAAGGACATTCTAATGTTACATATCACTACCAAAAAAAAAAAAAAAAAATAGCCTTTACCCGCATTAATGTTACACCTGAGAAATGGTATGGCGATACCGACAAGATGTGGTAAAAGGTACTTAGGTAGAGTACAAGACATTTATTATAGGAAAAGTTTCGCCACAAATGGTTTCTTCAGTCATAATACAGAGAAAACTAAGAAACGAGTATATGTAGTGGCAGGAGTCAGGTGAGAAGCCCACGATAGTAGAAGTAGTACAATTGTGGTAAGATGGGTTGGGTTTGAGAAGGACTTGTCAATATCATGCTACATCGATCTCCAGAATGGGTAATATCTTGTTGATCAGTATTTTGGTTATAGTGTAACTTCCGGAATTTTGATGGACAGTGTTACTGACAGCAGTTAGGGCAGCCTCTTACACTTTCTTCCTAAATAACTAATCTAGCCTCACTGAACATCTTTGTGTCCAACATCAACTCCTGTGTTGGACACGTACGTTTCTACGGTCATCTCGGTTGTAAGCGGTTTTTATGTCCCCTGATCCTAATATCCAGAGATCTGGCTGTTTCTCCCTCATATACTTTGTTACTCCCCCTTCCCCCCCCCCGCCCCCCACATACACACATGGCAGTGTGTAAACTCCTGCGGTCGTGCCAGAGTCATTCTTGGGTTTTTGTTCTAGGTTTCTAATACTAGTTGAAGAGCTGTTGGATATTTTAACAAGCATTCTGTCAAGTCTTATAGAAATATTAGTCACGACGTCGCTGACCGGTAAAACGATGTAACTTGGAGGCTTTCCTACAACTGGACTGGTGTTAGTCTTGTTAAGGATGTGTGTCGCACGTTTCCTGCAATCACGTATTAGGTGTAAGGGGAAGTATAGCGCAATGAATAATTGTGATGTATTGCATTCTTCTCTAGAGAAACTGCAAACTTGAAATTCTATAAGCTCTCAGAAAGAAGCCTATACCTATCTCTAATTTTTTATTTTTAGTGCATGATGAGAAGAAATGTATGTTGGTTTAAGCTAGACTAAAAG